CGTGCCAGCAAGTGAGTGAGGCGCTGTCCCCCAGGCTGCTGGCCTGGCCCGGGGGAGGCTCCCTTCCCCCATCACCCCGTTTCTGTCCTCACTTCATTGTCCTCCCACAGGAATGCCAAGGTGAAAGGGAAGTTTAGGGAGTCCTACCTTTCCCCTGCCCAGTCTGTGAAACCGAAGATCAACACAGAGGAGAAGCTGCCCCGGGAGAAGCTCAACCCCCCCACACCCAGCATCTATGTATGTGCGCCCTCCAGGGGAATGGCAGGGTTGGGGGCTGCTGGGGTGCTCTGAGCCTGAGACAGGCTTCTGATCTCGCCCTGTCTCCTGGTTGTCCCTCAGCTGGAGAGCAAGCGGGACGCCTTCTCACCAGTGTTGCTGCAGTTCTGTACAGACCCTCGAAATCCCATCACCGTGATCCGGGGCCTGGCAGGTTCCCTGCGGCTCAGTGAGTGTGGGGGACAGAAAAGTGGGGGAGGGATGCAAGGGTTTGGGGTTTGGGACTCAGAGAGCCCCCACTCTTACAGACCAGGAGAGTGGCCATGGCGAGCTTCCCTTAGTCACAGGGAGGCTGCATTGAAGGGAGCTCTGAGGGGTGGGTGAGCTGGACTCAGGCTTTTCTCCCATCTGTATCCAACAGTAGGCAAGTGGGAAGGGGCTGTATCTCAGGGTCTGGTTAGTCACTTTTAGTTTTCTTGGTGATTAAGGATGAGAAGAAGACAGATTGTAGAGTGTCCCTGAAGACCCCTGATTTGAGGCTTTTCTTTTCCAACCTTTATTGTGCAAATTTCAAACACACAAAAGTAGGTGGATCCATATAAAAATATAGAAATCAATCTTGCTTCTTCTGTACCCATATATTTTCCTTCTATTGAGTTACTCAAAGCACATTCGAGGCTTTCACTTAAGTCTTTCATTACATCTAATGATAGCTTAAAGAACCTGTCACTCATTAAGCACCTGCTGTATGCCAAGTGCTGTGCACATGCGCCTCCTGCATACCTGCGGGCTCTGGTGGAGGAGTTGAAGCCAGAGCAGCAGTGGGGGAGGGGGTTGATGAGGGATGGCCGACCGCCCCAGCTTCCTGTGCGGCTGGGGTTCTGCCTATTCCCTCCCTGGCTCTACCTCTGAAGCCAGTGTCCAGCCTGTCGGAGGCTTGGGGAGTAAGAAGGGACAGAGAGAGTCGGGTCCTCCATCCCTCCCTCTGACTCTTCCCCGACACCCTGCTCCGCCTTCCCTTGCAGACCTGGGCCTCTTCTCCACCAAGACCCTGGTGGAGGCGAGCGGTGAGCACACTGTGGAGGTGCGCACCCAGGTGCAGCAGCCCTCCGATGAGAACTGGGATCTGACAGGCACTCGGCAGATCTGGCCCTGTGAGAGTTCCCGCTCCCACACCACCATTGCCAAGTATGCACAGTACCAGGCCTCGTCATTTCAGGAGTCCTTACAGGTGAGAGGCAAGCGCAGGGAGGCAGGGGTGCGGATCGGGGGGCTTGGAGGGGGGCTGCTGAGGGGGGGCTCCTGGAAAGTGGCTGACTCAGCCTGTGGCCAAGCAGGAGGAGAAGGAGAGTGAGGATGAGGAGTCGGAGGAACCGGACAGCACCACAGGAACCCCTCCTAGGTACCGGACAGTATGCCCCTTCCTTTCGTGACTTCTGCCCTCCCTCCCTGTGTGTGCTCTCCACCAATGTGTGCTCTCCGCCCCACAGCAGCACACCAGACCCGAAGAACCATCACATTATCAAGTTTGGCACCAACATCGACCTATCTGATGCCAAGCGGTCAGTGGGGTTGAGGCCAGCAGACCTGGGGCAGGACTGCTGATGGGTCTGCGGGGCGGGGATAGCTTCTCGCTTTTATTGACTCTCTCACGGCTGCAGGTGGAAGCCACAACTGCAGGAGCTGCTGAAGCTGCCCGCCTTCATGCGGGTAACATCTACCGGCAACATGCTGAGCCACGTGGGCCACACGATTCTGGGCATGAACACCGTACAGCTGTACATGAAGGTCCCGGGCAGCCGAACGCCAGGTGCAGAGTGCGCGCGGGGCGGGGCCGGGCCGCTGCTTTCAGCCAATGGGGGCCAAAGGGAGGCCTGGGGAAGGAGCTCGGTCTCGGCTGGGCCAGCAATGCGTTCTCTATTGCCCCCTGCAGGCCACCAAGAGAACAACAACTTCTGCTCTGTCAACATCAACATAGGCCCAGGCGACTGTGAGTGGTTCGCGGTGCATGAACACTACTGGGAGACCATCAGCGCTTTCTGCGACCGGTGCGCCCCTCTTTCCCCCCAAACACACACAGTAGGCCCACCCCCCATGTCCCATCTCTGGGTCGCCAGGTTTCCATCTGACCCTATGGCCACCCCACAGGCACGGTGTGGACTACCTGACAGGTTCCTGGTGGCCAATCCTGGATGATCTCTATGCTTCCAATATCCCTGTGTACCGCTTCGTGCAGCGTCCTGGAGACCTCGTGTGGATTAATGCGGGGACCGTGCACTGGGTGCAGGCCACCGGCTGGTGCAACAACATCGCCTGGAACGTTGGGCCCCTCACCGGTGAGAGGGTGGGGTGTGAGAGGGTGGGGTGCAGAGACACTCAGTGGTGAGGGAGGGGGAGAGGAGGAGCCAGCTGTGTGGGAAGGGGCTGGGGTCCAAGTAGGTGGGAGATGTGTGAGAATCCCGTCATGACTGCTTCTGGCCCACAGCCTATCAATACCAGCTGGCCCTGGAACGATATGAGTGGAACGAGGTGAAGAACGTCAAGTCCATTGTGCCCATGATTCACGTGTCCTGGAACGTGGCTCGCACCGTCAAAATCAGCGACCCCGATTTGTTCAAGATGATCAAGTGAGGGTCCTATTTGAGGGAGCTCATTTCCACCAGACCTGGGCCCACTCTTGTTCAGCCTGTAGAATGCAACCCCATTCTCCATCTTCCTCTCCACCCTTTACTCATGCGCCCTGCCGTGTTACAGTTCGGAGCAGGTGGCAGGGTGCCTGCTCCAAGGAATTTTATTTGACGGTGGCCCAAATAGAGAAAAACCCACGTGAAATTTTAACGGGGTCTAGTAAATGAGGGCTACTGCGCCGCCTGGCTAGCAGCCCTACCTCACACCACTCGCCACCCCCACCCCAGGTTCTGCCTCCTGCAGTCCATGAAGCACTGCCAGGTGCAGCGGGAGAGCCTGGTGCGGGCCGGGAAGAAGATCGCCTACCAGGGCCGGGTTAAGGACGAGCCTGCCTACTACTGCAACGAATGCGACGTGAGTGGGCGGCTTCCCCCTTCCCGGGAGCAAGGAGCCCCAGGGGCGTTCCTCCCGCTGACGGCCCGCCTCCCCGTCCCAGGTGGAGGTGTTCAACATCCTGTTCGTGACGAGCGAGAACGGCAGCCGCAACACGTACCTGGTGCACTGCGAGGCCTGCGCCCGGCGCCGCAGCGCGGGCCTGCAGGGCGTGGTGGTGCTGGAGCAGTACCGCACCGAGGAGCTGGCGCAGGCCTACGACGCCTTCACGCTGGTGAGGCGCGGCGCCCGGGGCGGGCACGGGGCGGCCGGGCGGGCCCGCAGGGGCGGGCTAACGGGGCGCCAGCCCAGCCTAGCCCTGAGCCCCGCTCTCTGCTCTCCCGCAGGCCCCCGCCAGCACGTCTCGATGAGGCCGGATGCCCCGCCCTCCTGCCGCCTGCAGGGCGCCGGGGCCACCAGCACACGCCTGGGCTGGACCTAGGTCCCGCCTCTGGCCGGGAAGGGGGACGGGCATGGCCCTTCCACCCATTGGCAGCTCCCCTTCACTTAATTTATTAAGAAAAATTTTTTTAAACAAATACGAGGAAAAAAGGAAAAAAAAAAAAAAGGGAGACGGGGGAGGGGGCTGGCAGCCCCTCGCCCACCAGCGCCTCCTCTCACCGACTTTGGCCTTTCTAGCAACAGACACAAGGACCAGGCTCCGGCGGCGGCGGGGCTCACATACGGGTTCCCTCACGCCTGCCCGCCGCCTGCCCGGCGCAGCGCACGCGGCTCGTGTATGTACATAGATGTTCCGGCAGCCGAGGATTTTAATGAGATTCTTTCTATGGGCTTTACCCCTCCCTCAGAACCTCTTTTTTTTATTCCCAATGCTAGCTGTGATCCCTGTACATGTCTCTTGTTTATTCACTTCGTTATGATTTGTATTTTGTTTTTCTTTTTGTTTGTTTTTAATTTATAACAGTCCCACTCACCTATTTATTCATTTTTGGGAAAACCCGACCTCCCGCATCCCCAAACGATCCCACCCACCCCTACAGGGCCGCCCGCCGCAGGCTCCCCTGCGCCCCAGTGTGCCCGTCCCCGCCCGCCGCCCGCTCCGGCCGGCTCTCATGGTGCTCAATCCGCTCCCCTCCCCGCCGTCCTGCACTTTCTTGGACCAGACCCCCCTCGCCCCATCCGACCCCACCCCAACCCTGCCTGAGGGTGAGCGACTCCTGTACTGTAGGGGAAGAAGTGGGAACTGAAATGGTATTTTGTAAAAAAATAAATAAAATAAAATTTTTTTAAAGTTTTAAAGAACTATGAGGAAAAGGAACCCCATCCTTTCCAGCCCCGGCCAATTTTAAAAACACGGACCTTCCCCTCACGCCCCCACCTTTTCTTTTTAAGTGTGAGCAGCCCAGGGCCAGGGCCTCCCTGGGGCAGGGACACCGGGAGGAATTCTCTGGGGCTTTGTCGTCGTGTTGTCAGTTTCTTTCCTCAGCTGGGGCTGCGGAGGGTGGGGGTCACAGTCCCGCCCCCTCGCACTGCACTGTCTCTCTGCCCCAGGGGCAGAGGGGTCTTCCCAATCCTACCCCTATTTTCGGTGATTTTTGTGTGAGAATATTAATATTAAAAATAAAACCAGGAAAAAAAATCCTGTTTTTAGTGTGCTGCTGATAGGGAGAATACCGGGAAGAAGGGCTGCGAACCGTGATTGATGGGGAGATTGGCCAGACCCCGGCCAGAGGGAACCCCTCCCCAGAGGCGCCTGTGGAATGTCCAGAGCTCTGGTCTGGGGGGTGCTACTCCTGGAGCCGCATTCCAGGATAAGGGGGGCGGGCTGGGCGAGGCCGGACGGGGGAGGGGCAGGAAAGAGGCTATAAGGCCGCTGCCCGGGCGGCTGGAGCCAGGCAGGCCATGGCGGATGTCCTCGGGGCGCAGAGACCGGTTCCCAACGGCGGCCCGGAGCCCCGGGACCCGCTGGACTGCTGGGCCTGCGCCGTGCTGGTCACCGCCCAGAACCTGCTGGTGGCCGCCTTCAACCTCCTGTTGCTGGCGCTGGTGCTGGGGACCATCCTGCTGCCGGCGGTCACCATGCTTGGCTTCGGCTTCCTCTGCCACTCGCAGGTGAGCGGGCGCCCCGGGTGTGCGTGTGGGGCCGGGGGCGGGGTTTATGGGCCACAACTTCTTGCCCGGCTGTTGGCGCGGGCCTGACACCCGTCTGCAGTTTCTGCGCTCCCAGGCACCCCCTTGCACGGCGCACCTGCGGGACCCGGGCTTCACGGCCCTGCTGGTCACCGGCTTCCTGCTGCTCGTGCCGCTGCTCGTCCTCGCGCTGGCCAGCTACCGCCGCCTCTGCCTGCGCCTCCACCTCGCCGACTGCCTCGTGCCCTACAGCCGAGCCCTTTACCGGCGCCGGCGCTCCCCGCAGCTGCGGCAAATCCGGGCATCCCAGGCCGTCCCCACATCAGGAAAGGTGTGGGTGTGAGGACCCTCGAGTCAAGAACAACCCCGACGAATGCCCTCTTTTTCAATCCGCCCAAGGACATGAAGCCTGGGGGTCTCCCGACCTGCCCTGCCCCATCCCCACCTGAGCCCCCTTGGCGAACTGCAGCTTCTGTGGACCCAACGTTGGTGAAAACTCGCCACTCCAGAAAACCCCTTCTTTCTACTACCCGTATCTGAATCCTGAATATCCGGGCTGGACCCTGCACCTACACTCCCGCCCCATCCCCCACCTGTGAATAGGACAACGGAACCTCACTGTGCCCTCCTTTCCGGGCAGCTCCTCTAGAATTTACAGGCTGCTGGGGGAGGTCGGAGGGGAAGGAGCGATCACACATTAATAAAGAATTCATGAACTGAACGAGCTTCTTGGATCCTGTGAACAGAGGGGTGGTACAAATACTATCACTACTGCTATGTGCCCAGGAAAAGGAAACGGGAGGGGGGTGTGGCTCCAGTGTGCAGACGGGAGCATCCCCCAGCCTCTAGGCCTTCCCTTATCGCATTAGCCTGTTCTTCCTGACCAGCCCCAGGCTCTGTCCCTGAACCCAAAGTCACCTCCCACCAATAGAGTGGAGAGGGCCTGGACTTTGACGCTTGCCCTGCTCCCCTTGGGGACCCGAGCCCGTTCTCTGACCCCAGCTTAGAGGAACTCAGTGTTGCCAGGCCAGGAAGGGAAACAATGGGCCTTCCGGAGCAGGATGACACCCCCTCCCGCCGCAATTCTGGAGCAGCAGCGTGGGAGGGAAGATGGAGGGGTCCACCCTGGGACCTGTTGGTCCGAAGCGCAGCCTGTCCCCCATGCCGCCCGCGAACCTGAGGTGCTGTGGCACTCCTGGAAGCCTAGTCTGTGGGAAGTGGGACCTCTGTCCGGACATCCCAGTTACACACATACAGGCCACTTGGGTTACAGGTTTAATGAAGTCTAAAAGGCATGCGCGATCATGGTTAGAGATAGGGAGGCCCCGCCAGGCTCTCTCTTTGCACCTCAATGGAAACGATGTGGTGTCCGGGTACCATGGCCAAGCCCAGCACACGGGGTTCCCCAGCAGAGAAGGAATCTGGAAAGGAGGGTCAGAACATCAGGGAGGCAAGCCAGCGTCGGCCCCGCCCCTTTTGAGCCACGACTGCCAGCCTCCCAAAATGAGGGGGCAGCCAGGCTCTAAAGGGGAAATGCCTGAGTGAGGCTCCACCGCATTCCCGGCGGTGCATTCCCCAGCACTGACCCGACGGCTTGAGGAACTCCTGCGCCGAGCCTAGGATAACATTGCAGTCGCGGTCGGTGCAGAGGAAGCAGCCGACCAGCGTCCGTCCATCTGACATACGAATGCGCATGGTCTTGTTGAGCAGCGCCTGCAGCTGCTGCCGGGCGCGCGCAGCCGGCGAGTCCTCGCGCTCTCCGTCTGAGTCCTGCGCGGGCAGGACACGCGCTCAGACCGCGCCGCCGGGGCCGCTGCCCGCCCGCGGAACCACAGCTCCCGACAGCCCGCGGGGCGCTCACGCTAATCCTGGAGGCTGCCGGGAGCTGCAGTCCCCCCCGCCCCATCACCCCCTCCCCCCCATCTTGCTCCCCGACTGCCCCTCAATCTCGGAACCCAAGCCCGCGCTAACCCCAGCGCTGGAACTGCTTTGACGCCGGCTGCAACAGCCATTCTCCTCCCGAAGCAGCATGGTCGGCCCAGCTCCCGCCATTTGTTCCGGGGCCTCCTCCAGGCCCTTCAACTCCCTAAGAACCTTTCGGGTCCGGTGGTCTGAGATCTCGCGAGCTCTGCCGGCACCTTTTCTTTCGCGAGATCACCTCGCCTCTTCGGCTACTGCAGTGATCTCGCGAGCTTCTACTTTCCAGTGCTGTGGCTCACTGAGTTCTATTATGCCGGATGTATTAAGATATCGCGAGAAACTTTACCTCTAATTTTTTTTTTAACATATTTTAAGAACCCTGGAATTTAGCAAGGATTTTTTTTTTTTTTCCAAAATCGCACAATTCCCCCCTTTTTTCTGACTCGCGAGAAAGTCTGTCTTAAATATCCCCTATAGCCCAGGCCACTCCGAATTCTCCCCGGAACTCCTGAGGACATAACTCAAATATTTGAAAGCAGAAATCAAACTACGTTTCCCATGGATCGCCGCTACTCTTTGCCCACCCAGCGTTTGATCTCTGTAGACGGTGGCTGAAAAGGGACAATGGTTTCCATGTCAGCGAATAAACGCTTTGGTCTTAGCTCCAGGATGGGGGAGGCTGTAGTGATGAGCGAGGAAGAAACTTGAAAGGAGCCGGCGACTAATAGAGCAAGAGCCATGCCACGCCGGGGCCTCGTTGCCGGGCCAAACTTTGAGTTTTTCCGGCGTCGGTATTTCACGCCGATTGAGGTGGCTGAACATAACCAACCGGACGACCTCTGGGTGTCTTACCTGGGAAACGTATACAACCTAACGCCGTTGGCACTAGAGCACGTAGGTAAGGGCCACACTGGGGGTCCGCTTCGGGTGTGTTTTGTGGGTGCCTGGTTTTGGGGGCGGCTAGAACTGACGGCGGCTGCCCCTTTCCAGGAGACCTGCTGCTGAAACCCATCTTGGAAGTTGCGGGTCAGGACATCAGCCACTGGTTTGACCCAAAGACCAAGGACGTGAGTTCTGCCTCGTGCTGGGTGTGTGTGTGCGGGTGGGGTGGGAGAGCATTGGAAAATGAGGATGGGGAGGAAAAAGAGGAGCTAGCCAGAGCCCGAGAGGGTGACTGCTCCCATCTCCTCCCCCAAATCCTGCTTCGAAGATCCGAAAGCACATAGATCCGCTGACTGGTGCCCAGAGGTACCGCACCCCCCGGGGCCGCTTTCTGCACGTTCCGCCTCAGCTGCCTCGTTCCGACTGGGCCAACGATTTCGGGAAGCCCTGGTGGCAGGGGTCGCGTTATGAAGTGGGTCGGCTGTCCGCCAAGACTCGGAACATCCGTATCATTAACACACTCACGACGCAAGAGCACACACTGGAGGTGAGAACTGATGCCCCGGGGCAGGTTAGAGGGAACTGGGAATCCCAGCAAATCTCCAAGCAGAGAGATCTTAAGGCCATCAACTCTCCCTAACCCGTGGAAGCTGTATTTTCACCCCCTTTTAGATGCAAGCCAGAAAAGCAGACCACTTAGGTCCCCAGTAGACTCCTTTATAAGGTCAGGGCATCAATTTATGTATCTTAGTGCTGGTGGTCCATGGAAACTCTTACATGCTGTGTTTTGGACAGCAAATGCAATTGGACTCTCAATAGTCTATTGTGGGAATGAAGTTACCAGGCAGTGGCTTGACTTTGACCTGTTAGGCCATCTGTTAGAAGTGGCCGCCACACTGACAGGTCGGTCTTTAGTGCCGTTCATTGCATGCTGGAGCTCCACCTTCATTTCTGGGGCTGTGGAGTATCTGAAACTATCTGCCAAGGGAGGCACTCTGATCCCAGCTCATTTTTGGGGCTCTTGGCCTTTTGCTTGGAATGTGTGTGTGTATGTTCCACCCCGAATTCTGAGAGCGGGATGCTTTTGTGTTCTAGGTGGGGGCCCTAGAATCAATGTGGGAAATCCTACACCGCTACCTCCCCCACAATGCACATGCTGCCAGCTACACATGGAAATACGAAGGGAAGAATTTGAACATGGAATGTACCCTGGAAGAGAACGGGATCCGGGATGAGGAGGAAGAATTTGATATTCTCAATATGGATGATGCACTCCACACACCTGCAATACTGCTCTACTTCAACGATGACCTCACAGAGCTGTAGGAAAGGAGATGTATGCTCATGTAGACTCAAGACACATTTTGAATCTGGCTGTTTCTGTACCTTGTAGGAAAAGAGATGGGGATGGGGTGGGAGAATGCCTGGACCTAGACTTACTTCCTACTCTGGGAATTGACCTGTGGTTCCCATGCCCTTATGAGATATAAAGGTCCAGTTTCACAGGTCCATTATAATTTACTGAGGAAATTAGGGAGAATGTTAGAAGTTAATTTTTTTTAAATGATACGACAAAATATCTTGGACTAAGGAGATGTAGAAGAGGATAGAGTTCAGATAGAACTTTAAAAATATATTTTTATTGATTTCAAAGAAAGGAGAGGGAGAGAGAAACATTAATAATGAGTCATTGATTGGCTGCTTCCTGCATTCCCCCACTGGAGATCAAGGGCACAACCTGGGTATGTGCCCTTGACCAGAACTGAACATAGGACCCTTGGGTCAAAAGGCTACAGCTCTCTTCCCTGAACCAAATCAGCTAGGGCTCAGGTAGAACTTCTTGATAGTAAGAGAAAGAGAAATCCTATACAGGGATGAGGGATGGAACGATTTTTTTTTTTTTCAATGATGGAAATGGGATGGCTGCAGGAAGATGGTATTTACAGAGACAGAAATAGTAAATGTCACCAAAACCGGTTTGGCTCAGTGGTAGAGCGTCAGTCTGCGGACTGAAAGGTCCCAGGTTCGATTCCAGTCAAGGGCATGTACGTTGGTTGCGGGCACATCCCCGGTAGGTGGTGTGCAAGAGGCAGCTGGTCGATGTTTCTCTCTCATCGATGTTTCCAGCTCTCTATCTCTCTTCAATAAAATGTATTTTTTTTAAAAAGTAAATGTCTATCATTGGCCATACAAAACTGGCTAATCTCCCTTCTGAATAGTATTTGCCAGCTGAAACCCAAGGGAAAGAAAGGAAGTGAATGGTTACCAGGTAATTCAGTTTAGATATTATGTGCTTTATACACTGTTTAGTATGACTACCCATTACCACTATTTTACAGATAAATCTTTTGAAGTTTAGCAAGATTTAATAGAACTAAGGCAGACTAGTTAGTGATCCAGGAGGTAAACCTAAGTCTGCCCAAAGTCCATATTCTTTTCCTTGTAAAGGAAATATCTCAATGTTCTAGGCTCATTACGCAATGCCTGTAGGCTTATTGTTCAGTCAGCTGTTTTTTTTCTGCAGCTATTAGCAGAGGTATGCAGAGACAAACAGGAGTTAGTGAGGTTAAGTATCAGCTGAGCAATAGCTATTGAGACTACTTCGTGGTTAATCCCATGGCAAAATTTTCTCCTGCCATTTTCCAGGCAAAGAGGTGGGTATATGCCGGTTCCAGGAAAAACTAGAGTTGGGCCTTTGGAGTGGGCCACTTTGGATGCTGGAGCAAAAGGGAGGCAGATAGCACAGTATGGGCCTGCACCTCTTAGGGAGTGTGAGGGTGCACGGTTGACTTTGCAAGATATTTTTTCTACAATAACAGGCTTGACGGGGATAATGTAAATAGAGGAGCTAATTAAGTCAAAATTCTTGAGGACCAAAAGAGAACAACTAGATTTGGTCCCATTTAACGTTAGCAGGGAAGGAGAATAACAGGTGAATTTCCTGATGGTAACAGGCAAACTATCCCCTTTGTGCATCCTCCTGACATGGGCCCAGAGCAGAAAAAGTGGCCTCTGTGAGACATTGGGTGGGCTGCATAGGAGTTGTGTTGTTTTTTTAAAATATATTTTTATTGACTTTAGAGAGGAAAAGAGAGGGAAAGAAACATCAGTGATGAGTCATTGGCTGCCTCCTACATGCCTCCTTCCTGGGGACTGAGCCCACAACCTGGGCATGTACCCTTGATCAGAATCGAACTCAGGACTCTTCAGTCTGCAGGCTGACCCTCTATCCACTGAGCCAAACAGCTAGGACCATAGGAGTTTTTTGAAGGGCATGGACGAAGGGGAGACGTCTGTATTGGCTTTGGCAGAACCTGAACACAAGGTGAGAATTGAGGGATTCTTTTAGTCCCATGTATTGCAAGAGTCCATGAATTACCAGAATCATTTTGATGTTTAATCAACTCTACAGTTGTTTTGTGTGCATCTTGTTTGTCCAGTTAAATCCTAAACTCTTTGAGAACCATGTGCATCCTCAGGACTAAGCCTATGGGATCTGTGCCTCTTCCAGAGTCTCCTACTTTTCAAGACCTGTTGCCAAACACACATCTCTCTCTCTCCTCACACATCCAATCACTCTCCAAGTAGACTATAACTTCTAAATATCTCTGGAATCCATCTTTTTTCCAAGCTATCATCACCTCTGTGTTAAATTACCGATATAATTGGCTGGCTGGCTGCTAGATTGTATCTCATTAAAGCATTAATCATGTCCCAACTTGTTTCTTGCTGTATTCCAAGTGTTAGGCACACAGTTGCTGCTCAATAAATTTTGATTGAATGAACTCAAATGTTAAGTGAATTCATTTGTTTATATTAACCAATGTATGGGATGTTGTGTCTTAGGAGACAAGGTGAGACCAAGAAATAGGATGTCTGGATCCTGTGCCATAGTCTCTATCCACAGGTCTCTCTCTCCTTGCTCTCCATAGATCCAAGACCAAAAATTATCCCATGAGGTTCTTCCTCTCAAAGATTTTTGGAGCAATCTGTCATTTCCCCATTTGGCCACTAGGTGGCTGCAACTGCCTACAAAGTCAGGGAGGGGACTAGAGGAGGGAAAACACTTTCAAATTCTAGAGGTTAGGATTAAAGATGGCCCCTTTGAAATTTATAGGTGGGAGGGAAGGATCTGAAAAAAAGGAAGAACTACAAGGCCATTATTCTATTAGCAATATGTTTGTTCCTGTTTTTAGTTTTCCCTGCAGGCACCCGCCAGGAAAGGAATGTAGTCTGAGAAAAAACTCAGCCCGGACCTGCCGAGGTACAGGTCCCATTCCTGGCCAGGGGCGTCTTGTCAAGGGCCTGGGCCTGGGTCAGGACATGCAGAAAGCAACACCAGATGTTCCTCTCCCCTCACCGCCGCCCCTTCCCACTCTTTCTAAAGGTCAATGGGAAAGATATCCTGGGGTTGAGAATGAACAAAACAAAAAAAATTTAATTAATGTTTAAAAAATCATGGGAAAAGCAGAAGATCTGATTACAGGTGTGGGTGTGTGTGGGGTGAGGCATGGAGCTACGGAAGGAATAAAGAAGGAATAAAGAAGGAATAAAGGTTTTTAAGATAACAGAGGACATTTATTTATTAATATTGACTGTTTGGGGTAGAGGGCTATAAAGCTTTCCACTGGGCACTACTTTGTTTCCTAAATATCCAAGACTGGATATTTGTATGAAGAATATGTAAATAATGCCTTGGCCTAAAACTTATAAACAGAACATGAGTGTAGGATCTCTTTTGTTCTGGAGGGAAGTGGGGTGGCAGAATATTGAAAGCTGCCTTTTCACAGTAAATCATAGCAGCTTCAAAGGACTCAATTGGCAAATATTCAAATATTTTCCCAAGTCTCGACCCTATATACATATAATACATCACTAGAGGCAATAAAAAGATTTTTGGGTTTGTTTTTTTAAATATATTTTTATTGATTTTGTACAGAGAAGAAGGGAGAGAGAGAGTTAAAAACATCGATGAGAGAGAGTCATCGATCAGCCGCCTCTTGCACACCCCCTACTGGGGATATGCCCGCAACCAAGGTACATGCCCTTGACGGGAATCAAACCTGAGACCTTTCAGTCCACAGACCAACGCTCTACCACTGAGCCAAACCGGTCTTGGTGGTTTTTGGGGTTTTTTAATTGTTGTTTTTTAACGTTCCTTGCAGGAAACTTGCCTGCTCAATGGGATAAAACACATACACACAAAAAAAAAAAAAAAAAAAAAAAAAAAAAAAGAAAGAAATGAAAATTGTTCCTCATAAAGGACCAAATTATGTTATTGAAAAAGTTTCCACCCTCAAGGCAAATCACAGGAGGATTCTTAACCTGGACCTGCAGAAATGGTTTCTAAATATTGTATATGTGGGGGCACATGTGTATTATTTTGAAGAAAGGTGCTATAATTTCCATCAGTGTCTCAAACTGGATCAACCTCCTGCCCCTGAATAGTACACACACACACACACACACACACACACACACACACAAATATATTAAAGACACCTTCCCCATCCCTCCAGCCCTAGCTGGTTTTGCTCAGTGGATAGAGCCAAATGGCACACGTTACCCCCTCTATTTAAAATGTCTGAACTCAGGAGCCAAATAGGTTTAGATAATGTGGTATCCATTGCTATTTGCCCTCTCTCACTATTTGGAGGATCTGAGGAGATCTGAATAATATCATTTGTGCTGGTAAATTCTTCTAATCCTTCTATGGAATAGTAAGGAAGATGAAATATTCCCTTGCACTTAATAAACAGCCTAGAGGGTGGGTATTACCCCATCATAGTATATCAGCTGAGAATGTATTTGGTTTCAAGTAACAGAAGGCTGACTGCTGGGCTTACCTGCAAGGGGTAGTTCTCCTCACACAGAGTGTTTGTGGTACAGGGACTCCACAGACAGTTCATTAATGTCTCAGGAAGCTCCTGCTTTTGTTCTCATGTGTATGGTCTTTGGTGCTATCCTCCTTATAGCCCAGATTTTGGGCAGGAAAGAGGAAAAGAAGAAGAAAGAAAGGGCGATGCCTATATTAAGCAAACAATTTCCCAGGCATCCCTAGCAGACCTTTGACTGACAGGAAATACATTACACAGTAACCCTTAGCTGCAATGGCCTCTGGGAAGGGATTTTATATTGAATCCACAACAAAAGCAGGGGCCACTGCTGCGGAAGGAGAGAACGGATACTGGGAGGAACCAGCGAGGTCTTCCACAAGAAGTGCGAACGTGCTATTCTGTTCACTCATCCACTAACAAAACAGTTATTAAGCACTTGTGCTAGGCACTGTTCCACTTACTGGAAATACAGCAGTGAAAGTGACAAGTCAGTCTCCTGCTTGATTGGGACTTATACTCTGGTGGGGAAACAATAAACAAGTAGACATTTCAGACAGTACTGAAAGCTATATACTATATTTGTATATGTATATACATACATATGTAAACACACACACACAGACACCCACATATGTGTATAAATGCCAAAAGTGCTATACAGACAAAAAACTAGAATCCCATGAGAAGAATTGTGGAACGATCAGAGGCTTGTCTGAGATGATGACAAAGATTGCTCTGTATTACCTGTAGATCTGCATTTACCTGCATTATCACTTAATCCTCACAACAAACTTAAGTCCTATTTTATTGACACTGAAAAAAGAAGGAAATTGAAGCACCGAGAGGTTAAGTAATTTGCCAAAGTTCATACAATTAGTAAGGAGCAGAGATGGGCTTTGAACCAGACAGGCATAGGCCACACACAATTATAATGCACCACCTCCCTGCATTACAAACACAGGATGCTGGTCCAGTAACCTAACCTGCTTAACAAAACCATCTTAAGACTTAATGGCTTAAAACAACCACCATCATTTATTTTGCTAATGAACCTATCATTTGGGCAGGGTTGGATAGCTCATTTCCACTCCAAAAGGTGTCAATTGGGTAGATTGCTGGAAGCTGGAGGATTCACTTCAAAATCTCTCGCTCCCACGGCCAGTTGACATTGCTATGGGTTCTTTTCCATGTGGGCCTCTGTGGGGCAGGGTGGGCTCCCTTAGACCATGGGGGCTGGTTCCCAGAGCAAGTATCCAAGCAAACCAAGAGGAAGCTTGCCTCAAATCCAAGGGAAGAGAACTAGACTTCACTCCTCAGTGGGAAGAGTGTCAAAATTAGTTTGTAATAAGAGCATTTTGGATGTTGAATATTATGATGGCCATTTTTGAAAAATATAATCAACCAGATGCATTGGAGGCAAAGGGAGGGATATCCAATTAGTCTTGGGTGTGGACGGAGAAGAAGGAGGTGGGGATACCTAAGTAGAGCCTTTTTAGAAAACCTAAGTTGGAATCCTGACCCCACCTTCCACTTAATCAATTCATTAATATAAAACTGAGCATCAGTGTCATGCAGTGCTGGAATCTGTGAATACACTAATTAATAAGACAATTTCTGCCCTCAAGAAGCTTATACAGGCAGTCCTCCGGTTACGTCGGGCTTGACGCACATCATTTCATTGTTTCGTTGCCATCTCCCATTTATTTATAAAAGAAAAAGTTCCATCATTTTGATGCATGTACATATGTGCTATGTGTTTTTTATTATTTATTTACCATAAGTAAAGGTCAGGAATTGTTATCTTTCTTTTGATTTTTTTACTGTTTCACTTCATCACTGCTGTGTGTGTGCTCCCTGTGAGTGATGTAGGTGCTTATGTAGGTGGGCTCCGACTCACGGCGGAAATCGAGGCCCGCCCACCGTGCTGCAGGATGGACAGGAGGACTGCCGGGAGTTTAGTGGAGATTCAGAGAAATCTGTGAGCTTCTTGTCATCTTGCTTTCACTTGTACACAACAGCCCAGAAAAGCTCTTAAAGTTCTCCTATTTAAAGTCTGCCAAGGCTTCCTCTTCCTCTTCCTCTTAAAAGGATGTTACGGACACACTGACTGCCATCCACAGTGTGATGATTTGCCTCTTCCAGCTCTTCTTGGTCTTCCTCAATGGCCTTTAAGGTCCAGCTTTCTCACACGCTGTTCCTCTCCAGGCCACTCATCACTGCCCAACTCCTGCTGCTTAAAGTCTTTGCTTAAATGGTACTTTCTCTGAGAAGTCTTTCCTGATCCCTCATTATAACAAATCTTTTACCAGACCCTCTCAGGCTGCCCTAAAACATCATAAGTTACAATTCAAATATTTAGCTTTTTGCTTTTTCTTTTGTATTTTTCCTTTTTTAAAAAAAACAACACACACACACATATTTTTTATTGATTTCAGAGAGGAAGGTAGAAGGAGAAAAAGAATGATGAGAGAGAATCATGGATCAGCTACCTCCTCCACACCCCACACTGAGGATTCAGACCCGACCAGAATTGAATCATGACCTCCTGATTCATAGGTCAACGCTCAACCACTGAGCCACACCAGCTGGGCTTTCCCTTTATTTTATTATTATTTTTCCATCGCCATTTATTCCCCATAAACCCACCTCCACCTCCTCCCCTATCTCCCCCCCCCAACAGTCACCTCACTGTTGTCCGTGTCCATGAATTCTTTCTTTTTTTCCTCAAATATTTATTTTTTTAATATATTTTATTGATTTTTTACAGAGAGGAAGGGAGAGAGATAGAGAGCTAGAAACGATGATGAGAGAGAAACATTGACCAGCTGCCTCCTGCACGCCCCCTACTGGGGATGTGCCTGCAACCAAGGTACATGACCCTGATCGGAATCGAACCTGGGACCTTTCAGTCCGCAGACTGATGCTCTACCACTGAGCCAACCCGGTTTCGGCTCAAATATTTAATTTATTGTTTATTGTCTATCTTCCTTCCTTCTGAGACTTTAAGTTCTAGGAGGGTAGAACTTTTCAAAAAAGGCTCTAGTTATACATCCCTATCCCAGTGCCCAGCCCAGAGCAATTAATCAATATTAATAAAATTAACAAATATAATGTGAATGCTACAAAAGGGCTAAGTATAAAATGCCTCTGAAATCAAATCTGAGGTCCTGGAAGGCAGGCAATGAGAGACTTTAAGGTCAGACCAGGCCAGGGGAAGCTTAGTAAACCAGGTTGTTCTGTGTGTTTTTTAAAATTCACCACTTTATAGTATACAATTCAGAGCCAAGAATTTTACAGAGAATGGCATGGTAATACGTGCATTTTTAAAAAGTGACTTGACTATATAATGTCAAGAGAATGAATGGGGGGGGGAAGAATGTGGAGACAGAGACTAATGCTAGTGCAGCAGTTCAGGAAAGCAATGAAGTAGCTGGAACTAAGTTAGTGGCAGTGGGCTTCAGTGAATATGAACTGAAGTTGAGAAAGAATTATACCACTCAATAATTTACTGGGAGGGAGTGTGGGACATAAAGCGCAGTCAAGGATGACACCCCCGTTTCTGGACAGCATGACTGAGAAGATGATAAATCCACTGATGGAGAAAGGGACTGCCAGAGAGGAATCTGACTAGAGAGGAAGATGATCTATTTTTAGTTAGCTGTAGGAAGTAACTTTGGGCGTGCAAATACAAATTCTAGATCTTATTGGATATATGACACTAGATCCTGAAGAGAGCTCTGGTCTAGAGTTATAAGTATGTAAATTATCAGCAGAATAATTAATGCTCAAGTCAAAGATAAGATCACCGCAAGAATGAAGTGTGATCTGAGTAGAGGGCCTGGGAGGAATAAGATCTTAAAGAAGAGGAGGCCGATACTGGTTTGGCTCAGTGGTAGAGTGTTGGTCTGCAGACTGAAAGGTCCCAGGTTCCATTCTGGTTGAGGCCATGTATCTTGGTTGCGGGCACATCCCCGGAGGGGGGTGTGCAGGAGGCAGCTGGTCGATGTTTCTCTCTCATTGACGTTTCTGGCTCTCTATCTCTCTCCCTTCCTCTCTGTAAAAAATCAATAAAATACATTAAAAAAAGAAGAAGAAGAAAAAGAAGAAGAAGAAGAGGAGGAGGAGAATCAGAAGGAAAAGCCAGTGGGTGAGAAAGACCCAGGAAAATGGTGCCATGGAAGCCAGAGAAGAGGGTATTTGAGCTGACAGAGTGGTAAACAGTGTGAAAAGTTACATAGAGGTCAAATAAGGTAAGGACTTGAGTTTCCATAATTCAGCGAACAGCAAAATGGTGGTGTATTAGAGCTGTAGCTGGATGGACATGAATGGGATATTCCCTGAAGAAATCCCACTGCAGAAGCGAGGGGTTTTCTGGCTCTGGAGCCACGCACAGATCCTTTCCTCCTTTAGTTTCCACATAACAGAAGAACAACGTCACTAAGCACAGGTATAAACTGGGATAGATCACTTAAAAAGCAGCAGCCTCCAGTGTTGTGAAGATTAAAAGAAGATAGGGAAATGCCTGGTCCTTGGAACAGGCACAGGAAAATTTTAGTTTTCTCTTGTTCTCCTGTGCTAGCCGCTAACGAATGCTTTCCTTGGGATATCCCAAGACTTGTCATTATTAGGCATCCAGGTAACATTTGCCGTAATTAGAAAATCAGTAGGCCATATCTGTGATTAACATTTGGTTTTCTGATCTAACAATAGTCTTTGTGGCCCTGCGGGCATAGCTCAGTGGTTACGCTTCAACCTATGAACCAGGAGGTCAAGGATCAGTTACTGGTCAGGGCACAGGCCCCGGTTGTGGGCTCAATCCCCAGCAGGGGGCGTTGCAGGAGGCAGTCGATCGATTCTCTCTCATCATTGATGTTTCTCTCTCTCTACTTTCCTCTCTGAAATCAATAAAAAATATATATATATATATTAATTGTTTGTGCCTTCATTAGGAAAATTATTTGCGTTCAGTAAAATGTGATTTGTTTCATATCATGCTGGAGTTTAGTTTATTTACATAAACTAAAGCAAGGAAAGTGGCTCAACTATTGGAATAAGAGTAACTAAATTCAGCACTTTGCTTCTTCAATTTAAGGTGCTGTCATAACTCTGATCAGAATTCCCTCACCTTACTATTATCTTAAGTGAATCTCTAAGTTGAGAAATGGCTAATAGTAAGTAAACTTGTTTAGAATAATGGCTACCAATTATTGAGTGCCTTATAGTCTTTTATGTAAGTTAGTTCAGGTGTTTTTTAATCTTTGCCCACGGATACTCCCGTTGATTTTTAGAGAGAAAGCAGAGAGAAGTATCGACGTGAGAGAAAGACATCGATTGGCATCCCAACTAGGGCTCAGGCCAGAGAGGGTCTTGCAACTGAGGAATGTGTTCTTGATGGGAATCCAGCCTGGGACCCTTTCGTCCACCGGCCGACGCTCTATCCACTGAGCCAAACTGGGTAGGGCTAAGTCAGTTCAGTCTATCCTCACTACAGCCATGTAAGATCGGCGTTAATATCCTCGTTTTACAGATGAGGGAATAGAGCTTGCCCAGGTTCACTGTTAGTGACAGAACTTAGATTCCAGGTGCTACCAGCCTCCAAAACTAAAACTCTCTAATGGAGTGGGTAACTTCATTATTTGGCTTTGGAATACAATGTAGGAGTTACACAATTTTGGAATATAGTCTAAAAGTTCCTTCTTTGGAGGGCTAGATGGTGAAAGGCCCAAGAGAAAGCAGAAGCTCAGTTGGTTGGGTGTCGTTCAGGACACTAAAGGGTTGCTGGTTTGATTCTGTGTCAGGGCACATACCCAGGTTTCCGGCTCTATCACCAGTGGGGAGTGTGTAGGAGGCAGCCAATCCAATGTGATCCAATGTTTCACTCTTCTCTCTCTCATCTCTCTCTTTCCACCCTCTCTTCCATTCTTTCTTTAAAAATCAATTAAAATTCTTTTAAAAAACAAAACAAAAACCACTGCAGTTCAATCCCTGGTCAGGCACATATCTGGGTTATGGATTCAATCCCAATTGGGGCGCGTATGGGAGGCAGCCGATTGACGTTCCCCCTCCCCACCTTTTCCTCTTTCTCTAAAATTAATTAAAAATACATATCCTTGAGTGAGGATTTTTTAAAAAGTAGCAGTTACAAGGCAATGTCTAAAGGGGAAAATGGCTGGTGTTTGCCAAAAGCAGAAGGAGAGAAAGGTTTCTGGATATGAAGTTGAGAGCAGGACTAAACCAGGTGTCAATTTTCAATGAATGGGTGGAATGCTCAGGAGGTA